ACTTACTTACTTACTTACTTACTGACTTACTGACTTACTTACTTACTGACTTACTTACTGACTTACTTACTTACCGGCTGCACACGTCTCCACACCTGCTGTATCTGTGGTAAGGAAGTAGCAGCATCTAGCTCAAGCGAGCAGCACGTTCAATTAAAATCACCTTGTTCTGTATTTTTCCAAATAATTTTGCTCTAAAAATATTTTTGTTTATCTGTCTTTAGAGTTGACTGTTAGGCTCTTCGTTTTGTATGTTAATATCATTATTGTTATTATGTATTTCAGGGAAAACCTAGCATATTTCAGCAAGACAAAGCTAAACCACATATTGCATCCATTACAGCAGCATGGCCTCAGAGCAGAAGAGTCTGGGCTGAACGGACCTGCCTGCAGTCCAGACCTCTCACCCACTGAAAACATTTGATGCAACATGAAGTGAGAAGTCCAGCAAGAACACCCTAGACTATGGGACAACATTCCCCCTTACAACTCCAACAGCGGGCCTCCTCAGTATATAGACGTTTACAGATGGTTGTTGACGGGGGGTGGGGGGTTGCTTCACAGTGAGAAACAGTCCTGTCCCAACGTTTTAAAGATGTGTCGCTGCCATCAAATTAAAAATAATCATTGATATTTTAGTTATTTTCTGTTTAGTACATTCCATACAACATCCCAAGGGGGGGGGGGGGGGGGTGGCACCGAGAAGACAAGCCTGTTATCAGGAGGTCGCAGGTTCAAATCCCCAAATCATTAAAATTTTGGTGGGACAGATGAAGCACCCACACCTGCATCAACCCTCATTTGCCCTACTGTGGGTCCTTGAGCAAGGCCCTTAACCACCCAGTCTTTCTGCGGGCGCCTTGGATGCTCCACACGGCTGCGGCGGCTCGCTGATCAGTGGTTGCTTGAGGAAGGACATCCGGTGTAAACTCAATAACCAACTGTTCGTGCGAGTTTGCTCGCTGAAGAAGGGAGCAGATGAAAAAACAATTCTGCAACGTCCCAGTTTTTTGGGACTGAATTTGTAAATTTAATCCCAAACATGCATCAGAACGTGGCCGCTCTACGGCTGCAGTCATGTTGTGCTCATTTGTCAATCTGTACAAGTTGTTTGTCTCCGCTACTTAATTGCAGATTGTTTCAATACAGATAAAAAGGTTACAAGGATTATTTTTTGTTCCATTAACGAGGGCATATCTGTTTTTGTGTTGCATCTACCTGCTCCTTCAGGTCAGAAACCTCATCAGTGCTCCATCTGCTGGCGCTCCTTCTCCCTGCGCGACTACCTCCTCAAACACATGGTGGTGCATACTGGTGTCAGGGCCTTCCAGTGCACCATGTGTGGCAAGCGCTTCACCCAGAAAAGTTCACTCAACGTGCACATGCGCACCCACCGTGCTGAGCGCACTTTCCAGTGCAATGTGTGCCACCGGGCCTTCACGCACCGCACTCTGCTGGAGCGCCACGCCCTGCAGCATGCCCACCACACTCCTCAGACCCCAGGCCCAGGTCAGGGACGTGGAGCTGACATGACCTCACCTACCAAGCACAGTCCTCCAGCTATGGGAGGACCCTCAGGTATGGCTGGCCCGGCTGGGATGGTTGGCAGCATGACCAACATGCCAAGCCACGGAGCCTCTTCCACCTAAAAACATAGAAAAGGAAATTCAGGGGAGAGGAGGAGGTTACTAAACTCATTCCTCAAATCAACACTTAATTGGTCTTAACAACCTGTTTGACCTTTATTTCTGGTGGTAAGAGCACTTACAGACTTACAGTCTCGTTCTTTAGCTTAATGCCGCCTTCAGTCAGGGTTCCTGCACAGCACAGAACTGTAAGTCCTTTGAATAATTTTAAAAAATTACATAAATCTACAAATGTTTTAGAATTGTTTAAAAAAAGTCTTTAGAGTTCTAGGATGTGGGGGTTCCATTTCCAAAATGTATCTAAATAGTTGTAGCTCTACTTTGAATTCCTGTGTTGTAACATTTGTTGCTGTGAGAACTAACCATAAGCCTCAGAGCGATGTGGTTAACAGTCACACGTTGAAGAACAGCCATTAAAACCTATAGTTTTTTTATTTGTTGAAATGTGTAGGAACCCTGTGTTAGAGAACCAGAGAGTCACCAAAGACGTTTGGAGAACAGAATTGTTGTGGAGGTGGAAGTGATGGTGGGGGGAGAGGAAGGTGCAAGACGAGTTTCATTTACCTTCAGTTCATTTAACTCATGACCAGTAATTTTACTTTCTTGGTTAATGATCAAAACTATAACGTAACTAGTTTTACTGACAAACAATCATTAAAATGTAGTCATTCAAGCAATTTGTGTCTCAGAAGACAGAAGAGCATCGTGTTGCTGAAATAAACTGGTTAATTTTTGAAGAAGTAAACACAAGACAAAGGTCCTTGGTATTTTCTTTAAGCAAAAAACGTTGAGATTGCTCTTTAAATATTTTATATGTACAGTTTATTTTTGATTATGTCCCTGTTTAAACTGACCACAAATCTGTACCTTTATCAAAAATCTTGATGTTTTTGATGTGTTCAGGCCAAGTTCATGTAAGCTCCACTGCTCCAGCTCAAAATACAGTAGTCCCTCGTTTATCACAGCGAATCCATACCCTGAACCCCGTGATAAATGAAAAATTGAGAAGTAGGAAATATAGTACAAGTAATAATAGTTTTTTTAGTATTTATATATGTGTATATATACATATATATATGTGTGTGTGTGTGTGTGTGTGTGTGTGTATATATGTGTGTGTGTGTGTGTATATATATGTGTGTGTGTGTGTGTGTATATATATGTGTGTGTGTGTGTGTGTGTGTGTATATATATGTGTGTGTGTGTG